CGAACAATCGAACTAGGATATGTGTTCATGTTCGGTTTGGGATTGGAGTGATGGTGTTGTGGGCTAGTGGGCGATTACCCACCAAATTGATTATCACCAAGGTTACACCCATGTGTCCACACATTGTCGGTGTTGAAAGTGAAATTGTCGGAGGCACTATAGGTTGTATCCTTTTTTAAAATCGTAATTTCCTGCCCAGTCGTATTTTGTTCTTCGTGCCGTGCGGTCAATGGTAAACTCCTGAAATCCTGAATTGAAAACCCCATATGTGAAAGTCATAATGATTGTGGTGAACCTTAAAACTTCCAAAAATCTTTGGCTGCTTGGACTTTTATTTTTATTAAGCACCTTGAGTTGGGAGATCGCTGCCCAAACTACTCAAAACATCAATGTGTGTAAGTTAAGAGTCGATCGATATGGATATAGAAATATTGTACGGGATATGAGTATTTGGGTTGTATGGATTTAGTTCCTAGCACCTGAAAAGTTCGCTTGGATTACTTTGTAATATTATTAAAAAGAAGAATATTTTTGAGTTTATATTATACTCATATTTGTCAAAAGACGATCTGAGGATTCATTATAATATATATTTTTGTATGCTGTGGTTACGTTTGTTTGGCTAGGGTAGGAGATTCAAATAGTTTAGTTTGGAATTTTTATGACTATGGATCAAAACGAAAGGCACAAGATAGGTTTACTTTATTTTAAACAAGATCATCTCCAAGAATTTTTGAAATATGTACATCCAAAAACTCAAAAACATTCTTTGTTCAGTGTACTTTAAGTAAACTAATTAGATAGAACCTGCGTAGAAAGATATTGGTCGGGTGGATTAATGGGGTGGTGCCAGTCATAATGAGTTCTAGGGCAAGCAAACAAACGCAAAGCCACGTAATGCTTTCTTCAAATGCAATTTAACTTATACATTGCGATCCTTTGGGATAGTGTTCATCAACGAGGTGGATAATGAACCGGCGGCCAAGGCAGTGGATGTGGCGATTACCTACTTGAAGAAGAACATCCGATATGGACTCTCCGTACAAATGGATTCCGTGGAGGCGAACAAATCGGATGCTAAAGTGCTACTGGAAACCAGTGAGTTTCGATTGGGACTATCACTGAATTTCTTTATGATTTCATTCGTTCCTTAGTTTGTAGTAAGTACGCAACAAGTATTGAGAAGAAACAGACGCCCCATTTGATCCTGGACACCACAAAATCGGGAATAGCCTCGGAAACGGTCAAGAGTTTCACTCAGGCCCTAGGATTGCCCACCATTAGTGCCTCCTATGGTCAGGAGGGGGATTTGAGGCAGTGGCGTGATTTGGATGAGGCAAAGCAAAAGTATTTATTGCAGGTAATGCCGCCGGCAGATATCATTCCAGAGGTTATCCGAAGTTTAGTAACGCATCTCAATATTACAAACGGTAAGAGGATTTTTAAATTATTTCTAAATAATAAAAATATTTTTAAACTATGGGTCATTAAAAATTTCCTTTTACCATTTAAATATTCCATTACCTAACAGAAACAAATTTCTATATCTTGACCAGCGGCCATTCTGTACGATGACACCTTCATAATGGATCACAAGTACAAGTCCCTGCTGCAGAACATCCAAACTCGTCATGTCATCATTGGTATAGCCAAAGACGGAAAACGGGAGCGCGAGGAGCAGATCGAAAAACTGAGGAACCTGGACATAAATAATTTCTTTATTCTGGGCAATCTGCAATCGATTCGATTGGTTCTGGAATCCGTAAAGCCGGCGTATTTCGAGCGTAATTTTGCCTGGCATGCCATCACTCAGAACGAAGGAGAGATTAGCAGTCAGAGGGATAATGCGACCATTATGTTCATGAAGCCCATAGCGTATACACAATATCGGGATCGCTTGGGACTGCTACGAACCACATATAATTTAAACGAGGAGCCCCAGTTGGCTTCGGCTTTTTACTTTGACTTGGCTCTAAGGAGTTTCCTTACCATTAAGTGAAGTGATATATATATAATCCTTACTCTATATTAAGTTACATTTATATTTCCAGAGAAATGTTACAATCAGGCGCCTGGCCGAAGGACATGGAGTACATTAACTGTGATGATTTCCAAGGTGGTAACACACCTCAGAGAAACGTGGATCTTCGGGAATACTTCACCAAGGTTGCTTTACCCACCTGTACAACAAATTGAGGTTGATTACTCACTTCTATGTATTTATTTTTACTACATAGATTAGCGAGCCGACATCCTACGGAACCTTCGATTTCGTCACGCAACCCGGAGAACCCTTCAATGGCCACAGCTATATGAAGTTCGAAATGGACATAAACGTGCTGCAGATTCGTGGTGGCAGTTCCGTGAACAGCAAATCGATTGGCACCTGGACAGCCGGTCTGAGATCACCCCTGGTCGTCAAGGATGAGGAACAGATGAGGAATCTGACTGCGGATACGGTCTATCGAATCTTTACTGTTTTGGTGGGTCAAGATAGGGGCTTACAACGAATGTTTTAAGAGTAGTTTCAAAAGAAATAAGATAGGCTTTTTACTTTTCGATCTAGCTTTGTTATTTTACTTGCTTATTTTAAAGGTTTTTATTGTGCTTTGTGTCTCGCTTTTGGTCCAAACTTAACATTTGAGCTTTACAGTTATGTAATAAATTTTTAACATTACAATAAAGGTACAATAACATATAATTATATCACAGTGAATGTATGTTGTTTTAGTAACGAAGTAAATATAATAATCCAAGTTTTTCCTAACAATTTCCATATAAGTATCTGAAGTATTAACGTATTTCATTTTTATTTTACAGCAAGCTCCCTTTATAATGCGCGATGAGACTGCGCCGAAGGGATACAAAGGATACTGCATAGACCTGATCGACGAGATTGCTGGGATCGTTCATTTTGATTATACAATCCAGGAGGTAGAGGACGGGAAGTTTGGCAACATGGACGAAAAGGGCGAATGGAATGGCATAGTGAAGAAGTTGATTGACAAACAGGCGGATATTGGCCTTGGCAGCATGTCTGTGATGGCCGAAAGGGAGATTGTTATAGACTTTACAGTTCCGTACTACGATCTGGTCGGGATCACCATCATGATGCAGCGGCCTAGTTCTCCCAGTTCGCTTTTCAAGTTCCTCACCGTTTTAGAGACGAATGTGTGGCTTTGTATCCTGGCTGCCTACTTCTTCACCAGCTTCCTCATGTGGATCTTTGATCGCTGGAGTCCATATAGTTACCAGAACAATCGGGAGAAATACAAGGATGATGAGGAGAAGCGGGAGTTCAATCTTAAGGAGTGCCTCTGGTTCTGCATGACTTCTTTGACACCTCAAGGAGGTGGTGAAGCTCCCAAAAATCTCTCTGGACGTCTAGTGGCTGCCACTTGGTGGTTGTTCGGGTGGGTTTTATTTTTGTCCTTCTATAAAAATGTATTATAATTAATAATTCATTTGTTTTTCCCCTAAGCTTCATCATCATTGCCTCATACACGGCCAATTTGGCTGCCTTCTTGACTGTATCCCGTTTGGATACACCTGTGGAAAGTTTGGATGATTTGGCTAAACAATACAAGATCTTGTATGCTCCATTGAATGGTTCTTCGGCGATGACATATTTCGAGCGTATGGCCAACATAGAGCAGATGTTCTATGAGATTTGGAAGGATCTGTCCCTGAACGACTCACTGACTCCACTGGAGCGCTCTAAGCTGGCTGTTTGGGATTATCCAGTGAGTGATAAGTACACCAAGATGTGGCAGGCCATGCAAGAGGCATCTCTACCAGCCACGCTCGATGAGGCAGTGGCCCGGGTCCGGAACTCAACGGCAGCCACGGGATTTGCCTTCCTGGGTGATGCCACCGACATTCGCTATCTGCAGTTGACCAACTGCGATCTCCAGGTGGTGGGTGAGGAGTTTTCCAGAAAACCCTATGCCATTGCGGTTCAGCAAGGGTCGCATCTCAAGGATCAGTTCAATAATGCGTGAGTAAAGGTTGGAAATAAATATTATATTATATTATACCTATCTTTAACCCCCGTAGAATCTTGACCCTTCTTAACAAACGACAGCTGGAGAAGCTCAAGGAGAAGTGGTGGAAGAACGACGAAGCTCAGGCCAAATGCGAGAAGCCCGAGGATCAATCGGATGGCATATCCATCCAGAACATCGGTGGCGTCTTCATTGTGATCTTTGTGGGCATTGGCATGGCCTGCGTTACACTGGTCTTTGAGTACTGGTGGTATAGATACCGCAAGAATCCCCGAATCATTGACGTGGCCGAGTTCACTGGAGAGCGATCGGATGTTAAGGATCAGCCGGGCAAAATGGCCGAAGGGGTTATACTGGGCCATACGGGCGAGAAGTTCGAGAAATCCAATGCTGCACTGCGTCCGCGCTTTAACCAGTATCCGGCCACATTTAAGCCACGTTTTTAGAATTACTTTGATAGCAATGAATCGAATATTATAGTAAAACGTGCACTGGGATGTCTACGTCTAGTTTTTAAGCCATTTCAGACACTTTGTGCACTTTTATTCAAATCGTAATAAATGTTTTAACAAAGATCCGGAGATCTTCAATTCGCCTTTTACAAATGTAGGAAAAAACTAAGCGAATGGGGTGTTTATTTGGCTTTAAAGATATATTTTTAATTGAATATTCTTATCATATATTCTTATCGATTCCGAAAATCAAAGCATATGGGAATTTTTTTATAGCTGAAGTGAAAACTTATTTGCAATTAAAGCGAAAAAACAAAAAACATCTAAAAATAAGTATAGGGTAAGCAGAATACTGAGCTATAAATAGAAAATTATAATGATACCTGTTATTATATAACAAATTTCATTTAAACATATATTTTATGGTTTTGAATTTTGAATATCTGAGAAACCGTTAAAAAGTGTGTTATTTGGTATATTGAATACTAAATTAGTTTAGTATTAGAAATCCACATTCGAATTTTCCAACACTGCTATATATCACAACACTGAAGTTCCCAGCCCTGGTTTCCCCACTGCCCAAGAAATCAACATAAAATTCCACCTTCATCCGCGCCCAACACTTTTGTTTGCATTTAACCGCGATGGGGGACAGTTCGGATGATGAATACCTGGGCACCGACTGGGTGCCGTACAGCGAACGCTCCGACTGGAAGGATGTGGAGCCTCTCGCCCAGGACGACGGCCCCAATCCGGTGGTGTCGATTGCCTACAGTCAAAAGTGTGAGTAATGCAGGCGGCTTTATCTTTGGAGTTCACTATGTCTGATTATTATAACCATATATCCAATCTCCGCAGTTCGCGAGGTTTTCGACTACATGCGGGCCGTAATTGCACGCGGCGAGAAGAGCCAGCGCGCCCTGGACCTCACCACGGATGCACTGCGTCTTAATCCGGCCAACTACACAGTTTGGCAGTACAGACGCGACATCCTGCGCGAACTGAAGGCCGATTTGAATGCGGAACTGGACTATCTGAGCGAGGTGATTGGCCAGAACTCGAAGAACTACCAGGTGTGGCACCACCGACGCGTCATCGTCGAGATGCTCAATGATCCCAGCAACGAACTAGAACTCACGGAGAACGCCCTGGTCAACGATGGCGATGCCAAGAACTACCACGCCTGGCAGCATCGCCAGTGGGCTATTCGCAGCTTTAAGTGAGTGGGGAATTAGGGGAGTCAAATCCTTATAAGTTGTAGCATGAAATGCCTTCAAAGATCATCTAATTATTAGGAGATAAGCGAGCTTTTAATCGATTTATAATAAGAATTTCCTCTTAATGTACTTCCAGACTCTACGACGACGAGCTGAACTTTGTGGATCGTCTAATTTGCGAGGATCAGCGCAACAATTCCGCCTGGAACCAGCGCTTCTTTGTGATCAAGCACCTGGGCTTCACACCGGATCTGATACAGCGGGAACTTTCGTACACGATGAATCGCATTCGGATTATCAAGAACAACGAGAGTGCCTGGAACTACCTGGTGGGTGTGATGAGACAGGGCGACAATGGAAAGGCACGACTGAGCAGCTACCCAGAGGTGGTGGCGTTCGTGGAGGAGCTTTACCAGGCCGGCAACCGATCGCCCTACCTGCTAGCCTTCCTCATTGATCTGTACCAGGAACAGGCACTCCAATTGAAGGCCAACGATGGCGACCAGCTGGCCCGTAAGGTCTACGGCCTGTGCGAGGACATGGCCAGCAAGCACGATGTGATCCGTCGAAAGTACTGGCAGTATGTGGCCAACCACCTAAAGAACCAGCTGAGCAAAGTTCAGAAGGAGGAGCAGTAGCTGCAGCAGAGTACAGGTCCGAAATTCTTTTTTGCTTAGTTTTAAACCACATACGACGTACTTAGGCCTTCTTTATACATAAATAAAATTAAATTTACCAGTCAAGCGAGTGTCTAGAATGTTGCAAAACGCAACCTCGTCATTGCCACATGTCATCATGGGCGGCCTGTCTTTTTTGTTTGCGGCATCTGTCCCACATTGTTTATCTAAGTGAGCCGTTGTGTTTGTACACGTAAATTTCATTAACAATGAGCAGATAATTTTAGCGCAGTGTGTACGCCAGCTGAGGCCATTCAGCGGTTAAAGTGAGCTCGTAAATTATTGAAGTAATTTAATGCTTTTAATGCTAGGTTTTAGGAAGAGCTTCTGTTTTGTGTGCAAATAGATGTGGGAATATTTGGACAGAAATGTGAGAAGCGTAGCAAATACTTGAATGTAAATGCCTTTTCTAGAGTAGAAACCTTTTTCCCTTCAGTTATCTTGGTAATCGTTATCTTTTTCGTCAGAGACCGGAAGAACCCTCAGTGTGCTGTCTCAATATTGTTATTTATTTAAATTTGCTTCTTTTAGTTTTTTTTTTTTCTCATTTGTTTTTAGTTCGAGTACATACAATATAGCAGTTGTAATATATAACTTTTTCATTAAATTTGATTTTATTGCATATATATTGAGATTCTGTTTTTGCATTTTAATAATAGAAAACCTCCAGAGATGACTCCGATCTGGACCAAAATCATCTATGGGGAGGAGTGGGGAATTGGGAGTCGGGAGCATGTACTTAAAATGAAGCAGAAGACATCTTTGGCGTGTTTTTTATTTTGTTTCGGTTTTTAGTTCAGCTAAATAGGAGCAAAATCATTGAGTACTCGTTTGCATAGTTTGATAAAATTTCGTAATAATAAAATATATATTTATTTTGTATTTTTGTTTGGTTTTCGCTTCGTTTCGTATTCTTCTTTTTTTTTGGATTTGGGTATATATATAAATTTGAAAAAAGCCTATAAATCCAAATTTAGTTGGTACAAGGACCATTTAAAATCAAAGCACTTCGTTTGGGTCATCGAAAGTATTCAATATTATTTGAAAAATATATATGTAGTATTCTGAAACGGTTTCGTTAAAAAGAGGAAAGTGTGCAAAGCTCTGTTCCATGGCCCAAGCGAGAGATTTTTTTGGTTTTCGGTAGCAAAGACCGTTGATTCGAGATTGTTATCCTGTTGAGATTCAGAGATTTTGCGTGGAGAGCCAGAAGAGAGAAGTAGTTTGTGTGTGTTCTTTGTTTAGTTCGTTTAACAATTTGATATATAGAGTTAATATATATAATAGTTTTAATAAATTGATGCGCTCTTCCTATCTTTTTTTTCCTTGAGCCATTCTGTTTGTGTTTCTTGTTCGTTCATGGAGTTCATTTTTGTAAAAGCATTTTTAGCAAAAAATTAAAAATTCTCTCTGTAATCGGTTCCCGTTTAAAATGTCTGACCTCAGCGCGTATTCTTGATCTATTAAACTCCCCTCAGTTAATGTTTAGTTCTTGTCATCGAATCCTAATCAATACCCATATAAAATAAATCCCTTGATTCTGGCCGAAAATTCGCGTACTCCGATCGACGACGCCGCGTTTCTGTGTGGAGGAAGCTTCATATACCATCTATAAATATACTCGTACAATTTCTTGGTTTTCATTTTCTCGTTAATATTATATTGTTTAAAAAATCAACGCCACTTGATGTGTGCCATGTCCTGTCTGTCCTAAAGAGTCCTAAAAGGTGCTTACAGCTTTAAGCATAAGTTTAGCGTAGGCGTAGCGCTCCGATCGATCTGGTATCTCGTAACTGCCATCCCTAACCCAGCCTGGCCTACTTGTCCTCCCCGATGCCCTCGTCGGTCGTGGTCTTGCGCTCCCTCGCCTCGTCGCCGCTGATATCACATTTTTCAGCCAACATATCCTCGATGCCCTCGTCCACCGTCTGGCTCTCGCCGGGCACATGTTTGCGCCGCATCTTGGTCACCACCACGCACTCGCCCTGCGGCAGCGGCGGAAACTTTCCGTAGGACGTGTTGCCAATGGTGCCCACAGTGCTGTCCTCGTAGCTGTCCGGTGTCATCCGCACCCGGCATGTCTCGAAGGCCTTCTCGTAGCCCAGCTTAGTGTACAGACTGCGGGACGCATCGTTCCCGGGACGTATCACAACGAAGGGCGTGTAGCCGCGCTCGATCACCAGTTGGGTCAGCGACTTGGCCAGACGGATTCCATAGCTGTGGGTTAAAAAATACATTTTAGAATAAGGAAATCAATGGTTTAAGGGCTGTCCTTCAATTTCTAAGCTAAAAAGATCTCAATACATTCGGAATAACTCTTTTGGATTTGTAAAACATAAATTTTTTTTTAAGAAACATCCTATGTCCATGGGTTACCCAGAATTTTTCGATATTTTACTGTGCTTGGAAAGTTTGGAGAAGTCTGAGCCATTAAATTTTTATAAAATTCCATAAGTTTTCTTTTAAAAACATTCTGAAAAGACCAAGGGTGACCCAGAATTTGAGGATTTTTTACTTTGCTTTGAGATATAAGGCTCAGACTTTGGAAAACATTTTTTAGACAGGTTTTAAAATGTTGTACTCATAATAAGAAGTAAAAAAACTTGGCTAAATCCTTTCTTTGTTAAGGTTAAATAAATTTTTGGGTCACCTAGGTTAGATTTTCGGATCGATTTAGCTTACAATTCAGAAACACCCCGTTCATCGTAGCCCTACTAACCCCATGCGCCTGAAGTCTGGACGTGTTTGCATTGAGAACATGGCGCCGTAATATGAGTGGACCATCCAGGCCGCTAGTTCTCCGGTTTCCTTGCGAAAGATGCCCAAGCCAGGGAGCTTGCGCACGAGGATGTCAAACAGCTGGACGCACTCGATTTCGTTGGCAGGATATAGATCATGGATGCCCTGCACGTTGTCCAGGTTCAGCAGACGCATCTCCGCATCCTCCGGCAGCGGCTCCAGCTCCAAGTCGGTGTTCAGCTTGTTGCACACGTAGATATCACCACTGAGTCGTTCCATCACACCGAACTTCGAGTAGAAGTCATCCAGGCGATTCATAATGGCGATGTGCGTAAAGTTCAGGTACATAGGCTTCTGCCAATCTATAAGTACATCTTCGGTGCGCATCATATCGACATGCTCGATGTGTGCGGATGGACAAAATATGCCAAGAGTTTGGTATATATTGTTGTGCGGCTGAGAAAATATTTCAAATTAATTTAACTCTGTAATATACCTTATAAATTCTTAACTCACCGCAAGCGTGCATCCTGGAAAATGGAGAATTATCGGTTTTTCGGGCCAATCTTTAGCAACATAAAACTTAAAATCCCAAATACGATCATTCAGGTACGTTTTTATGGTTTGATGAAACTGCAAGAGAAATTAATATATTGGAGTTTATTAAGAGTTTTGCTTATTTTAAAACTTTAGCAACATAAAACTTAAAATCCTGGTACGATATAATGATGTGATGAAACTGAAAATAGAAAGGAAGTACATTTTAACAAGGATTGTTTTTATTTCAAACGGTTTACGTTCCGATTCTTGTAGTTTAGGAGGTAGTTGTTTTAAGATCTTTTGTTTTTTATCTGGTAGGGTATTAGAAGTAGAATTATGGTTTACACACAGCAATATTAAATAGTTGAAAAAAAAGGAATAATAAAATGTAATTATTTTTTACTTCTTTAAGAACATCCCATATTAAACAATTATAAAAGCTTTTTCCAGAAGTTGGCATCGCATTCCCAGAGCTGTTGGTAACCGCCCCGGAAAAAAGTTGCTCGCTAAAAATCGAAAACTCCAGTGGTGGCCAAATCCTTGAGGCCGGTGCCAAGCCATAGATATAGCCAACAAAAGTACAAAAGCACGTGATGTTCGGGGCGGAATGGCATTAAAAATTGAACAAAAATACAAGTGTAAACAGTGAAAACAGGTCAACAAAAAAAAAATGCGAGCCCGGCTTTGAGGGTTTGGGATTGCATGACTTGTGGTCTCGGTCTCGGAATTTCCAACGCCTTCTGAATAAAAAAAAAGCCTTCTTTCTACCCAAACTACAGGTAATTGTTGGTAGATTATCTGAGAGAATTGGGCGTGGCAACTGTGGAATATCTTGGTGTCAAGTTGGGGATACAGCTTTCAAGGGAAATAAAGATGCAAAAAAAAAAAACAAAAGTAGTGTTAGCATTTTTCATACGCACCTTTAATGATTCCGGCAGAAAGCGCTCTAAAGTTACCAAAATTTCTGGAAGCTCTGATTCATGCACCAAACGAAAGTGTTTACCTTCAGGAATGATTTCCATTTCTGTAACGAAAATAAAGCCAGGTTAACCTTTTGTGTAATGTCCAATTACCACCACGTATGTATGGGCAAATGTTTCTCTCAGTGAGGCTTGTGTATTTTGAATCCCTATACGTCCATCAAGGTCTCACGTTTGTGCCTCTTTCAAGGCCAAAGCTCAACAATGGAAAAGTTGGAAAAGCAAGAGTCACAAGAGTGGGAGTCCCAAGAAAACCGGGGCACACACGTCCGGATGTTGAGGATGCTCAGCCGCAAATGGTTCGACGGAATATGGATTGGCTTCTCATATCCATAGAAAGCCATGGCCCCTAGCTACTTAGCCATTCAAATTGGTTGTGCATAGGAAGGACATCGGCAATTGAGCCAAATTAGCAGGAAAGTGCAATGCCAAAACAGGTAATCGCCATCAAAATTTGCCCAATAATCAATTTGATTCGATTAACTAAAATTTTGTTCAATTACTGTCATTAATTGATGACATGATGGACTACAGTTGTTTGCTTTTTGATGGGATTTAAAAAGATTCAACTTTATAAATATTGAAGGTGATTTTTGAAAAGCTTGTTCAACATTTTAAAATATTAAGCGACTCGTTTAATGACTGAGATATGAACTAAGAATAGCAATTTATATAACTTATGGTAATTAATCTGATCTGAATGTTTTGGGATCCGAAACTATTATCTTAATCTGTCATGGTAAAAACTTTTCTGTACGCACATTTTTTTTGTGTCACTTCCGCAATACATATTTGCAACTTAATTTGTGTTTTCTTGTTTTTATCGCAAGATTGATGGCCGTTGTGATTGATTGACGAATGCGCCAAATATCATTATCCTTCACTCGGAAATGGCATGTGCCACTCCTCCTCTGCAGCAAGTTCCCATCCCTTTAAGGTTACTATGACTATTTATTGCAGTTATTTGTGTGCCCAAAACGAATGTAGTAATAGGGCACATGCTGGCTGGAATTAGTATTAGTCATGTTGTACATTCATAGCCCAAGGTGGGAGGATAAGGATTCAGGGCGTGACAATGGAGGAGCACGGGGACTAGACTACTGGCTAAGATATGCCACGTATCCACATCACGTCTGAGTCGGCTCAGACGGTGCTAAACACTTGTGTCTCTTAGCAAAATCAATATCAGACTTGAGCATTTGCCATTCCTGTTGACAACAGCATTCCTCGTTTATAGAAAAAAACCTACACTAAGGGGATACAGGAAAATCGCTATTAAGGGATCTTAAAGTATGACAAAAAAAGTTTAAACATACATTTCCTATTCGCTTAAAATAGAAAACTTAAGAGTTACTAAATCAAGATGATTGGTCCTTTCAATTTTTATCTAAACTATCTTTCGATTTAAAAATGTTTTCCAATTTACTTTCTATTACCCTTTACTTAGGGTAATTTATTTAATTTATATCCTTGAAGTTCTATAAAAACTGGTGCCTCGAGCGATAGAAGTTCAACTAAAAATATTTTCCTTTGTAAACTTTCCGAGTTGCGCCAGAAAAAATAGTTAAGCAAGGTGGGTGCCTTGCAATGATGGGTGTAACATGACAGTTTTTGTTGATGTTATGGATAAAAATACCGTTGACATTTCCCAGCGACACCACCACGGGGTTCGAAAAGTAGACGCTACACCGCAGGTGCCGACATCGCCCCGAGAAATTCCCAGTCGTATTAGTATTCGCAGTCCACATTTGGAGCCCTTTCCTGTCTATAAGTAGTACGGCCTACCCCACGTACCTCCGCCCACGCCTGCTCCTTTACCTGTGGCATGCTATCGCACTTGTCAGCCAATTTATTTCGGCTACGTTTGCTTTTTCTTTTCGGCCTAATTATTGAGTTGCCATATGGCTGCGATGCGTTAAATTTTAATACCCTGGCCGGAAGGGCATCATGAATTGGTCATGAGTTGGCTCCCCAAGAATCCGGATGGGATGGGGTCGGAATCAGGGTGAAACGCGCCGAAAGTGAAAGGAGCGGGGATGAATATATGTGTACTTGGTACATTTTTGCCAAATTCCAGGAATAAGGAATTTGCAAACAAAAGGGGATCGAAAAATAAGGCAATAAGATCTGAAGATTCTCCCAATAAATCGGATGAGATTCAGATAAAAATAGGTTAGAAGAAATAACAGAAAAATAATATACGTAAATAAAATTATATAAGATACAATCCTGCGAAATGTAAGGATCAATGGGCGGTACAAGATTAAGTATTGGATTTATGTAGATGGGAAAAGTTTATTTATAATATGGGTAAACAGGAGATTGTTCTAAAATAGTCCCATTTATCCTAGTAATAAAATAAATGTTAGAATATATTTATCTCACAGGGTTTATACATTTCACAACCTAGATATTTTCATTATAATTAATGATACGACAGGGGGTAATCCCATCAAAAAACTATAATCTATAAACCCTTGCCGGCTGATCACAGATGCGATTTCTTGGGGCGCATCCACGCTAATTGACATGCACATGTGCATTTTCAGGAATGGCGCACAGAAAAGTTAGCGACATGTTCTCAATTAAAATGAAAAAATCAGATAGCATACCAGGAAAATGTGCAATAGGGGGATAGGGCACATTCCCCCCACAAAATCCCCACAATGTTTTCCTTATGAAGTGCACTTACAAAAAATATTAATTCCGTTGACCTTGTGTGAATTTGAGGCTGCCTTGGCTGGTGGTGCGGCTTCTGCTTTTGCTTTTTGGTGGTTGTGGTGCTGCTTTTGCTTTTGCGGCTTTCGACTTTATCCTTGAGGCGTGTCAGCTTTGCGTGTGCGATATATATTTATATTTATTTTATACGCTCACCGAATTATTTGTGATTTATGTTTGGAAATTTATAAAATTAATTTGGTTTGCTTTTTGTTTTTCAGTTATTTGTTGGTTTTGAAAAAGTGCAGTATGAAAATAATTGTTGTTTATAAATTTAAGTTTTTTTTATATGCAAATCACAGATGTCTTTATTAGAAAAATTTAGTTATTATTATTAGGCTGTTTAGTTGATAGTTTTGTATTTTTTTTTTGGAAATTCTGGAAGTTCTTTTTTCGATTTCTTCTTGCTGCTTCTTTTGGTTAGGCCTTTTTTGAATGGAGATGTCGGCAGGCTGTGATTGATTTTTCTGTCGATTGATTTATGGAGTGGGCCTAACTCGATGGACGCGACTGTTGTGGGCTGCCTGCGCCTCTGAGTTCACAGCTAGTTCTCCGCAGTGCTCCCCACTTTTTGGTGCTCCTCTTTGCTCCTCGCCTTTAGCCCCCGTTGCACCTCCACCACTGATGGCCTAACCAGGCGGCGTCTCTTTTCGCTTTTTACCGTTAACGTCCAGGCGATTCTCGGTGTGTGTGTGGTGTGGCGTGTGTGTGTGTGTGTGCTACGCGCGTGAGTGTGTGTGCATGGCGTTTTGCGAAGGGGGGCGGCGGGAAAAAGGGGGTCGGCTTTGGAGTTTTGCAACCGATTATTATTCTCGGTGATTCGCTCTTCGAGACGCGTCTATTCGTTGCAATTTGTGTATTTTAACAGAAAATTGATTTTCCTCTGTGGGCTGTCCTGATTTCAGCTTCCTCTCGTCCTGTGTGGATTGCTAAATCGAATCCTGGCGGCGCCCTCAGTTTTGATTTACATCAGTTCAGTATTTTCTAATTTTTTTTTGGTTTCTGGTTTTTTGGCCACACACAACCAAGGACACTCACGCACACACACACCCCGACACACGCACCCACAACGGTACACACGCACAGTGGAATCGAATTTGAGTTCGAATAATTCGATTGCGTCTGGTGGCCTGGGAACTTTTTGCATCAACTGTGCCTGGACTTGGACTGCTTGCTGTTGCCTTGGATGGATTCGATTCTCCTCGGGCTGAGTTGGTTCTTCTGCCTTGATGTCCACTGCGAAAAACCGAACTGAACTGACTGACTGACGACAACGAACTGATTTCGGAGCAGCAAGGAGCAGCAGCTATGAAAGCACCGCAGCAGCAGCAGCAACAGCAGCACAAGCAGAAGCAGATGTTGCTGTTGCTGTTGCTGCCACTGCCCTACAGTGGGCTAATACTTGCAATAATTTCAAGGTTCTAGAGACGTCTCGACATTGTATATTATACGGTGAATAACACTGCTTCCTCGAACCATTACTGTTAAAAAAAATCTAGGAGTAAAATTCGTGTTCCTGGTAACATTTATTATAATAGTTTAAATCATAATAGTGGGATTTTTTTAGAACATCTGTTTTCAACATTTTAACATTTTTTTTTACCAAAATTTACAAATTTAGTGTTTGCTTACACGTAGTAAAGATAATATTTTTTAATAATTGTGTGTTTTAACATTCTATTACAAAATTTAAAAAATTTCTCTAAGCTCAAACAGGATTTTAATCGTTTTGCCAACCCAAACCACTGTGCATCGCTTGCAAATTCGAGAACGAAGGAAACTGCAACGTGGCAGCGACGTCGTCATTTTTCGCCTCGTGAATTTGCTCTCGCGCTCTAAGCTCCATTTCTCACCCTTTCTAATTCGCTCATTTCTCTCTCTCCGTTGCACTTGCAAAAATGTATGTAATCTGCAGAAAAACACTTCCCCATAATCAACGCATTTCAGTTTATACTAAAAAAAATATTTTTTTAAAAGAAATGAATTTCTAACTTTAATAATACTTAATACTTTAGTTTCTAACTTTTCACATTTTCAGCTTGCTGATATGTACTCTCCATCAAAATAATTAGATATATTCGCCCCAGGAAGTATGCAATAATTTTGTATATACAGTTTGAAACGAGTCCTTGCAATGGATAATTTACAAGCTATGGCTTGGATTTAATTTAGTGTATTCCTTAACTTCAATGTAACAGCAATTAGGTTTTTAAATTAAAAACTAATGTTTTCTTATTTTGATCTTACCACCATGTGTCCTAATACTGCCTTCGGTAATTTATAATTTTTACAATTTGTAGCGTTAAAAAGTCTCTGATAAAATATTAGAATAAATATTAATAAACATTCCCCATCTTCGTAATCCTTAATATTTCTTTCAGTGTGCCTGCTCTTTGGGTCCGCTCGTCCTCTTTTGCCATGCACCTCCCACTGCCACCCTGCAAGTGTGTTAGTGCTCTCTCCTGTGTCGGTGTTCCACATCCATCCCCATCTTTATGAGCGAGAGCGAGCGAGAGAGCAGGCGAACGAAAAGCCGACCATTCCATTTGACTCACTCCAACTCCTTGAAGAGTCGCATGGGGAGTTTGAGTTTTTTTTGTTTTGCACGTTGCCATTGCCATTGCCCAGCGGTAACTGTACACCGTGCCGGATTGGGATATGCGTTTTCAAAACACATTAGCGCCAACACAAAAGCAACAAGAACAAAAAAGAAGAAAAAAACCGCTGGAAAATGGCCACGGCGTCAGCGCAATACGTATACGCCACGTAGCGCCGCCACTTTTTGGAGCACGTGTCACCAAAGCCGGTCTTTCTCTCACTCTCAGCCCATCTCTCACTCTCTCTCTCTCCCCTTTCGGCGGCCTGTTGTTTTTGTAAACAAACAAACAGCCGCTCAGCTGTGAGGACGAAAAACCGTTGTTGCCTCCTTGCCGAAAAAAAATCCATTTTAATCGCCACCGTTTGGAGTGATATGCCAACCGAAATCCGGTCGACTTGACCGAAAAGCCTTACGGCGCATCAAGGTCGCGTGTGCAATTGACATTTTTATTGGCATTAAGTGGTGCAGGGACTAGTTTCGGTTTCAGTAGTTCTAGTAATTAAGGCAGACATGAAGACGCGCCAAAAAACAACGCCCGGAGTGCTAGGACTTCCAGGTACACCAAGAAAAAAAGGTCCCATAGGATTTTAAGCCACTTACAAAGCTGCTGTAATATTTACAATTTGAAATGAGAAATTTCAAGGGATAACAGTCAAAATTTTTTTATATTTTTCATTGCATTATTTTAGGCAGAATTCCAAGGACTTAAAATCAATGAAGATTATCTTAAAATCCATAGATATTTCTAAGCACTTACAATGCTCTGTAAGATTTTACTGCTTTAAATAAAGTTTTTTGAACGACAATGGTCGAAAAGAATATTAAATTTTTATAGCAAACTTTTAGACACATTTCCGAGTGAATTAACATCAATGGAGATTGTCTTCAAATCCCTAGTTATTTCAAAACAATTACAAAGCTCTACAGGATTAAAGTGTTTTAAATAAAAACTTCCGAAGGATAATGGTCGAAACAACATGTTACATTTTTTATAGCATACTTTTAGAAACATTACCAAGTGATATCATGACGTTAGTGATAGAGTTTTATATTTTTTTTTCAAAAAAGGTATCTTTTTTTCCTCTCAGTGTGTGTGTCTGTGCTGCATTCGAGTTGCGACTTAGCCGCCATGCCACATGCATCATGAATCACGCAAATTCGTGGCACGCAAAGACAATGACGCCAGCCCCCCGGCCGCCACGCCCCATTTTTCGCACCACTCGCTTGGTGTCGAGGACGCATAACTCCGGCGTTTATAATCAGGGTCGTCATCGCGAAACTATAGTTATAATAGATACAAAAATGAACCCTAGCTGGCATTTCCAAGGAAACTTTGCTCGTAAAAGCCGGAATAACAGTTAGCATTCATACAGCCCTTTAAGGTCTATGGCATTTAGTCAGGTGCTCCAAGAGGGGGGGGGGGGGAGATTTGGAATTGGGATCCCGACAGCGAAGTGCCGACAGCCGGTTGACAGTAAAACTCTGGCCTTGGGGCATCTATTAAAATTTATATGCAACCCGAACCAAAACTGGATCTGGACAAGATACACACTGTACGGAAATGGGGGATCCCCATAACCAAACGATGTAAACTAATATACATTTAACTGTTATTGCTCTCAAATGGCCTTAAAACGGAAGTTAAATTTTGTACCAAGTGACTAATCCATGTGCACACAAAAAAATGAAGATCATTATATTATGATTGCTTTTTTTGTGCTTAATTAATGTTCTAAAAATTATATTTTTTTAATCCTCGAATTCATGTAGGTCTGAAACCTAAGAGTCAAAATTAAATAGCATACTTTTGGACACCTTTTTTATTATTTTATATTTTGTAAGAGAACAAATAAGTTGTATAATTTATAAATGTATATAATTGGAATGTTCTAAAACAGTTTTTGGGAAATCATCAAGGTAAAAACTTCAATTTAATGAAAACTAAACCCATTTTTTCTCAGTGCACTTTGTTTTAAGGGATTTTTGCGAACGGCGGTGTTGACAAACTGTTCGCAGAGTTTTTGGCTTCGTCGGCACTGCTTTCGCTTTGGCCTGGCGACTTGGCGCCTCGTCCTTGGCATGAAGTTCGTCGCTGGCCTTTAATTAGCTTTACTCGGATTACTCATACGCCATGGGGTCGGGGTCTGGGTCTGGGTCTGGTGAGGGTTCGGGATCCATTGTTTCAGCACTGGCATGCGGATGTGGTTGGTCAAACGTGCATGTCGGGACACGTGTTCGGTTCGGGTTAAAGTTAAAGCGAGCGGTCTTAATGTCAGGGTCAATGCAGAATGCAGGGGTCTTGCATGTGGGGCCGATTGGTTGTGTTACCCAGTCGTCCCCTCCACCCAATATTTGAGCCATATAATACCCACTGACGTTGCATAAATCAAAATATATAAAAAACCCAGCGAAACAAAACAGTTGAGTTTACATTGTGTGTTGTTTGTTGCTCGAGAGATACAATATTTATTCAAAAGCAATTGGCCAGGCGCTTCTGTCGCCGACAGCTGCACACTCGGGGGACACTTTTGACATACACACGTGGCCAAAACGACCGTATATATAGTACATAATGAGTACTATAGGGTATGCAGAGAATAAAGGTGGCCTTGCCACTGGCAATTAGAGTTATTTTCACTCGCTATAGGGGACATGTGCTGCAACGTGCCCGCAAATGGCCAAAAACATGTGCATAAATAATACAGGTGAATGTTATGGACATTAGGAATTTGTGGGGTGGCTGATAGGGTGGCTAAGTAAAGCATTTCATACAAGAATTTATTATCAATCTGATTATAAAATATTTAAGATTTATATAATTTATAATAATAAACTTGTTATAAGTTGCTGCATGTTAGATTCATAACTTTAGACCTTTTAAAAAGTACCTTTATTTATTTAGATTTTCTTTTCTATAGAACAGAACAGGTTTAATAGATTTGTAATATAGATATAATTTCTAAACCTGAACCCTTTTGCCTGTTAGCATGAAAATCGTATTGCAATTTTAGTTCAAAAGATTGTTTTTTAATCTGTACATATTATTTTTATTGATGGCTATCGGCAATTGATATTCGAAAACGATTTCAACTTCCCGCCAAAAAAGTATGACCGTTGCTACAAAATAATAAAGCGGTTTGTAAGGCCTTTTGGTATTTTTTTGTGACTGCATTGATGCCGTCAGCTGTTTGTTTATAATTTCAAAACGAACTTAAATTAAGTAAATTCAAAGAAAATGTCTACTTTTAAGCCGAAGTTCTTAAAACCAGAGACAGACGATGCAATTACGGATAGTGTGGGTGGTGAGCAGCAATCCTCCGCCTTTGTGTTCAATGCCCATCACAATCTTGGACTTGTGGAGCAGGTGGGTTTGTGAAATGCGGCTTTATTAAGTGTGATATTAAGTTGTTATATTTAAATAATTACAGAGAGAACGCTTACCTATACGACAGTACCGGGATCAGATACTTTACTGCTTGGAAAAGCACCAGGTGGTGATTCTAGTGGGTGAAACAGGCAGGTTTGTATGGAGTCTTCCTGAGGAGTCTTCTATACTTAACCGGTTTCCATATGTTTTCCAGTGGCAAGAGCACCCAGGTGCCCCAATATCTGTACGAATGGGGCTGGCATTCCAAGGGACTCATAGGCATCACCGAACCCCGGCGGGTCTCCACCGTAAGTAGTCCCCAATCATACATATAGAATCCCAAACTTAAAACTCCCTTTTCAGGTTACCCTGGCAAATCGCGTGGCGCAAGAACGTGGCGAACTAGTGGGCGATACCGTGGGCTATGTAGTGCGCTTCCTTGAGAAAATCACCGCGGAGACTAAGATCAAGTTCATGACCGAGGGCATCTTGCTGCGCGAGCTCCTTGCCGATCCCCTGCTCACTCAGTATGGTGTTGTCATCGTGGATGAAGCCCACGAGCGGAACATGCTCACCGACATGGTGTTGGGTCTGCTCAAGAAGATCCTTCGCAAACGTAGCAGCCTCAAGCTCATCATTTCATCGGCCACCATAGATGCGGGCTTCTTCAGCGAGTTCTTTAGCTGGCCGGGATCAGGAGAAGTTAGCGTTAAGCTAACCATCGAAGGACGCATGCATGCTGTAAGTAATTTCTACATCAACGAACCCTGTGCGGACTATGTCAAGGAAACGGTGGAGACGATCTGGAAGCTGCATCAAAAGGAGCCACCCGGCGATATTTTGGCCTTCCTAACCGGCCAGGAGGAAGTCCTGGAGGCATTGGATCTCCTGCGCGAGTACATAGCCAGTTCGGAACAGGAGAACCTCAAGGTGCTGCCCATGTATGGCAGCATGTCCAGTACCGATCAATTGGCGGTGTTTTTTACCCCACCCAAAGGAGTGCGCAAAGTGGTGCTGGCTACGAACATCGCAGAGACTTCCATCACCATACCGGGCATAGTTTATGTCATAGATTGCGGGTACGTAAAGGTAAAGTGGTACAATCCCAACACCAGCAGCGATAGCCTGGTGGTTGTGCCGGTCAGCAAGGCCTCCGCAATCCAGAGAGCAGGGCGTGCGGGTCGTATGCGACCAGGAAAAGTATATCGCTTGTACACCAAACAAGACTTTGATGCCCTTGCTCCTCGACAGCCCCCGGAAATGCGACGCAGTGAGATGAGCGGAGCTGTACTGCAGTTAAAAGCTCTGGGTATCGGGAACATACTACGCTTCGACTTTCCCTCACCACCGCCGGCTCAAAATCTTCTTTCTGCATTGGAGGGACTCTTCGCCTTGGACGCCATCGATGAGCAGGGAAATCTGACCAAGCCCGTGGGCTATATGCTTGCCGAACTGCCCTTCAGCGCTATGCTTTCGAAGATGCTCTACGTTTCCGGCCAGATGGGCTGCTCCGAGGAGATCATAACCATCATTGCGATGCTGCAAGTGCAATCTATATTCTCGCGACCAGTTTCGGCAGCTGCCCAGCAAAGTGGTCGCATAGCTCATCGACACTTCGAGGTGGCGGAAGGTGACTTCATTACGCTCTTAAACGTTTACACTGGTTTCGTGGAGGAGGGCATGACCAAGGAGTTCTGTGGCCAGTATTACCTTATCTACAGAAACCTTAAAAGGGCCCACGAACTGAGGGAGCAGCTCATCACATTGGCCAGGAAGAAATACGGCATCCCAATCTTCTCGTGCAAGGGAGATGTGGAAACCTTGTGCAAGTGCATCACTGCCGGCTTCTTCACCCAGGTGGCCTATTTGCATCATTCCGGAGTTTATCGACAGATCAGCAGCGGCACAGAACTTGCTATACATCCCAACTCCACGCTTTATACACTGCCGCAAGCACAGTACGTGGTCTATGGGGAATTGCTCCAGACAACGAAGCTGTTTATGAACCAAATCACGGTGATCAAGAGGGAGTGGCTGACGGAACTGGCTCCTCATTACTACCAGCAAACAACAGTGCGAGATTAGCACATAAAGTGGGTCAAATATTATGTTAATTTTATAACTTGATTAATTTAGTTTATTGTAACATTATAGATAAACGCCTCTGGAAAACCACTTAAGCTAAAAGGATGTAATCGATGTGATGATTCAATTAAATTTGGAGTCTAGCCAGCGGCAACGCGTCCTCGACCCTGGAACAACATCATAGACTCAGGACCACGAATGACACGCGACATCAGCTCCCAGCACATTTTGGCGGGCAAAAGACTGAAAATGAGAATGATTACCTCAGATATTAATATTTAAAATAATTTACGCACCATTTAAGAGGAGTAAGCAGTCGAATGGAGTTGGGCAAGACGCACCAGACCTCGTTACAGCGAACGGCGTTCTCGATGCGATCCGCCACATACTGCGGCTCCAGCATGGGCATCATGCGAGGACGAACCCCTGAAAACATGCCCGTATTGATGTAGTACGGGCAGATTAAACTCATCTGGATTTGATCGTAGCCATGGGCTTTTAGATCCGTGAGCAGACTTTCATGGAAGCCGATGCAGGCGTACTTGGTGGCCGCATAATCACTGCATCCGTAGGTGCCCAGCATTCCTGTAACCGAGCCCACGGTTACAATGTGTCCACGATTATTACGCATCATGTGCGGCAGAAATGCTTTCACGGTCCAGTAGTGCGATATGATGTTGATGTTGTACGTGTTTTGGATGACCCGATCGTGCAGCTCCCAGAAGGGTTTGCAGCACACAATTCCGGCATTGTTGATCAGTATGTCCACTGGACCGACTTCCTCGGTCACTTGATTGGCCCGCTGGTAGATTTGCTCCCGATCCGAGATATCAACCACATAACCCTTGCAGTTGTTATAACCATGTTTGGCCAACAAATCCACTGCTGTCTTGATGGCTGCGTGGAAAATTATTGTCATATATTGTTAAGCTAATCAAATTGTAAATGTAACAGCTTTCACTAGCTGTCGGGTTTTTTGACCCGCTTTGCAGAAGCTGTGACGGAGTAATTAGCACCTAAGTGCGATTTCCTAGCCCCCTACCTTCTTGATTTATATCCCAGATGACGATGCGGGCCTGAAGTCGAGCAAAGTTTAAGGCAATCAAGCGACCAACACCTCCGCCACCTCCTGTGATGAGCACCACCTGGCCTGAGACATCCTGTTGGGGTGGAATGAATAATAATTATTATAATAATATAATAAGTAACCATTGTAAAAATAAACCTGTACATGTATTTAAAGTAAATAGTATCATATTATTTATAAATGTTAAAAATGGACTTATACAGACCAATTAAAAAAAAAACCCCTCTTATTATTTTGATAACAGCATTTAATTTTAAAGATAAAGCTACACAAATGTTGTTATATAAATGTTATAATATTTGCCATTTCTCAAATATCTATGGTTGGTTTTCAGTTCATTTTCATTTTGTAGTCATAAACAGAAAAATATGTAACCAAACCTTTTTAGCATACGAAAAAGGTGCGACTGTCTTTAATATGACTTGGCCATTTTGCATAATTTACAATTTTTATTTTGGCCAACGACTGTCTTGCAACATATGCTTGAATCATAATAAAAGTTACATGTCGCAAGTATGTCTCTAGCTTTTTTTGCCTTGGACCCACAACAAAAGTTCAATCAATTTTCGCAAAGTTCAATCCTCTACAGCAGAGCATATCAGTTTTGTCATGGTAGTGCAGAAAAGGAAGCTCTTTCATGCTGTCTGCTTGGCAGATCTCAACTTTTCCTTTTGCTTTGCTTGTAATTTATAGATACTTTTCTATGCAATTTGTTTTTTTTTCTTTTTTGGTGTGCGTGGAGCGTGCACTTTGCAGCAACAATAATGACTAAGGAAAAGGCAAAGTTTTGGATGAGGAAAAACTTGTTGTCATACTATGCTGGTTGGTTACTGCTTATTGAACTGTCAAGTCACGGATATTTTTGGACAAAAACTGAAGATGCGTTTGCGGATGGCAAATACTTAAGCCCAGCAAGTAAATAGCTTATTTTCAATGTCACCTTTAGGACTGGTTAATTGAAAACAAAGCTCCATAAAGCAAAGTAAGATGGCAAATATTTAATAAGTTCAGGTACTCTGCTTCATGGGTAAAGTGTGCAGAAGACGAATATTTAAAATAAAGGCGGGTTCCATTCATGAATAGCCAGCAAAGCGTGTGAACAAAATTGTTTACCATCGAAGCGTATCAAAACAGAGACGGAGGTTTGTTCAAACGTTTTTTTACGACAATTTTATAAGGCTTGCAAATGAGGAAATTGGAAAGTTTTTAGACCCCTCTATAAGACAAACAACCGAGTTGTATGCATTTTAATTAAACTAAAAATTTCTTCTCCTTGTTTGATTTTGATGTTTCAGGTAAAGTGTATCATAAATTCGAGTTGAACACGCTTATTGTTTTTATAAAAGCGAGTATAATTTGTTTTTATTACCACAAAACTGCGCGTGGCTCATTAATGTTTGTGAAACTGCCAAAACTGACGGTCTGCAAAAATAAAAAACCCAAGAGAAATGACTTTGAGGTAGCTCTACCTATGATTGATTTCAAGTGGTAAACTGGAAGCAGCTTTGAAAAATAATATTTTTTGCGGGTTTTGTTGTGCAATCAGTGTGGGGCAGGGTCAATCAAGGAAAGAAAGTCTTTGACATTTAGATTAAAGTATTCGCATTGTACCTTTAACTTTCTAAAACGCTGGGGCAGCAGGCTGTAGTAAATCGATTCGAGTATGTAAAATATAGATTTAATGGTGAACACTATCAAGTCAAGGAAGAACTGATAGAAAGCCCTGAGTGGGTGTTCCATGTGCAGAAGACCCGGTGAAACAGTCATGATGACGGAGGGATTATGTTTTAACGCCCTTGGCAATTAAATGGGATGGACAGGGTAGGGGTTACACGTGCGCGGGAGTTTCGATTTGGGTTTGGTTTTGATATTCCTTGCGCATGCGCGGCTTGAATGGCTGATTAGGGCTGTGGCACACCGCAAAAATGGCACTCGGCATGTACAATTTGATCACTTTTGATGGCTACTAGCCGTGCATGTTAATGATCCCGCACAAATGCTAATTCGCTGGAATTTCTCTGTCTTCCTTGCCGACCGTCTCGGATTGCGATTCGCGCGATCTTTATTTCAAGCTGGCCTTAAGCACTCACGTCCGCCTAGGCTGAAGTCACAATCCCCACTGAACAACACCGTCTGGCGAAAAATTGAAAACCAAACCTCAAACCAACGCTGTTTCTATTTTGTTGCCTTTTTCCATTATTCGAGCCGAATCTGAGCACTTTCTTAACTTGGCTTTTGCTCTTTCTAGCCGAGGCAGCTGGTGGCCCACTCGACTTGACCTGTTTCTTCACTCATTTTATTGTCCAAGTCGCTGAGTATTTGATTACATTTTATGTTGATTCCGCTTCTATTCGCAGGCTTCATTGAGGAAACATTTAGATGAGGAAGACAGTCTAGACCATATCTATAAGATAGTTTTTGGTAAATCAATTCCCAGATATTATTAAAATATTTTTTAAAAAGTTTATATGGGCTTAGGGCATTTACAATATTTGTATATTTAAGTATCTACAAACATACATTCATATGTTATGAAAAAATGCTTATAGCCAGTTTAAATATTTAATTTTTTTTAATACTAGTTTGAAATTTATCTTTCAGTTATTTGGGTCAATTGTCACTAAATCAGAAAAAGTCCAGAACCACAGTTTAATCTATCTTCAAAAATATACAAAAGATTCAGTCCTAACGATCCCCAAAAGTATGAAACCGGCATCTAAAGTAAGGCGTTTTCTTGCTTTATATTATTATCTTAATAAAGCAAAAATACATAGCCTTGTCATTGACCAATTTAAGTGATTTTTAGAGGCTGTAAAACAAAAGTACAATAAGAACAAAAAGATTTAAAAATGTATAGTAAATTCTGCACTATGCTTTTTCTATAAGAACTTTAGGATAGGTTCATCCGATATGTACAAAACGTTATATATTGCATTAATAACTTATTTCATCGCTATTATTAAAGTTATATGCACTTATCTCAAAAAACAGCAAAGTTAAACAGATCATTTCTATGTTCGCTATATGTCCGATCCACCAAATTTTCATACTCAATATGAGTTTTAATAAAAAACAACGAGTTCTTAAGTTTTACTTTGATTCCTTCAAAATTGAGGGAGTCATATTTTTGGTCAGAAGAAGTGATCTAATTTCCCATAGTGCAATGCCCAAAAATATGCACACTGGTTTCATGTCCAACTTCATCCAATCTATATAAAAGCGCCACAAAGTATACAACGTCATTTGTAAAATTAACACATTTTAAGAAAAATGAAACTACAACAATTCGTTTAATCTTCTGGCGAAGAGGTATAAATTATTTTGATTGAAATGATACCTTGCCAAAATAGCACACAACGGATAGTTAGATGATATTACTATATAATTACCTAGAATATCATGAGTGACTATATGTATATCATTAACTATTATAAAAACCACCAACTAAACCAACAATTGGAAAATTTTTTGGTTCAAAGACATTTTTCTACTCATTAACAGTGAAAGTATTGTTTCGTTACAATTTTTTCTTAAGTATATGAATTAGGTCTGATCGCCAATAAAATCATTAGGTTTACCATTTTTATTTTAAAATTATTTTTTTCATTCTATAAATTTAAATAACACATTCTGGTCTCCGATAAATTTTTGCGGCTCATGTGGCATATGGATTTCAATCAAATTGTTGTCCCATGTGTACAGTGTTATTATTCCCTGTTCAACTCATAGAACAATTTAAAAAAATATATAGCCACATTGTTGCAATGACTGCTGTCTTTATTGCCGGATTATTTATTAGTACGTTAATTAGTACTTTGTGTAGCTCATAAATCTATCTGATCTTCGGAGGGGAGGTAGGATCATCACCTGCTTTATCGATACCGATTCCAATCAATTTCAGTCACGCGGCAATCGTCACGCGGCCAACAAAACTACCGATATTTTAGCCAGGCGCCCAGAAACCAGAAGACCAACGCACTGTGCCCTATCGATAC